AGAAACTGGGGCTTAGACAGGATATTTGGCTCTCGTGGCAAAAACTAAAATTATGCCACTGTCATCAAGCTTGAGAAACTTATTTTCATATAAGATTTACCATGTAGTGTAGTCAGCCATTAATAGTTAACTAACTGATGACATAATTAAACAGACCAACCTTTTTCCTTAAATCCCATTTTCCCGAACATATATGAAACTGTTTTTTTTTTAAATTATAAAATTAAATAGCCAATACCGGGTACCACATTTGCTGCTTCCTCCAAAATGCAACCCGGACAGTCACAACTGGGGCTGCACCACTTTGATACAGGCAGGGAAATTCTAGGTATAGGACAAAGCAAACAAAAAGTACTAAGTTCAGGGAGGAAAATAAGTTTTATATAAAAACCTAAGATTACTAGGCTGTTGATCAAATTTTCTGATATTTCTTTGCACAAAACCTGGCTTAAAGATCTTCTGTGATATTCCTTTGTACAACCAACTTGGCTTCAAGATCTTCTGTGATATTCCTTTGTACAACCAACTTGGCTTCAAGATCTTCTGTGATATACCTTTGTACAACAAACTTGGCTTAAAGATCTTTTGTGATATTCCTTTGTACAACAAACTTGGCTTAAACATCTTCTATGATATTCCTTTGGTCAACCAACTTGGCTTAATGATCTTCTGTTATATACCTTTGTACAACCAACTTGGCTTAAAGATCTTCTGTGATATTCCTTTGTACAACCAACTTGGCTTAAAGATCTTCTGTGATATTCCTTTGTACAACCAACTTGGCTGAAAGCTATAAATGAAATAACTAAACATTCCAAACCAAATTAATTTTATGACAAAATTGTTCACAGCAATAGCTCAAATTCTACCAAAGGAGTGTGGGAGTCTGTCGAGTGTGGGAGTCTGTCGGTTGATCTGGGGTTAGCACTTTCAACAGAACAACTTCTAAATAGAGTGTATGAACACAGCTCAGCTTTTATTGACATATATAAATAATCTTTTTAATAACGCAGTGGTAGATATATATGTTATAAATTTATTCAGAGTAAGAATTTTTTATTGAACACATAAGCTTTTATAACTCATAAATATTTAAGTCGTCAGATTCTCTGTGTGCCATTTCAATATATACAAGCAACATCAACAAACTTGTAATAAAGTTAAGTTATGTACATTTAAAAATAACTGGTTGTGTTCCTAAACTTGGTCTACACAGTAACATTGTATCATTTCTAAATGCCACAAAGGGTCATCAGTGACTTCAAATTAAATGTCATTCATTCTACACAAATATACAGCACAAACTCAATTATCTGGACATTGAGTTATCCAGACTTGCTTATAGTGATCCACAATTGACATCCGCAAAGGAAGGAAACATTCCAGGATGGAAACAAATCAAAGTACATTGGACATATCTTTATTGTATGGGAACAAGGTTTTCAACAAATTTATGTTACTATTACTATCCAGACTATGAGATCAAAGCTTTTTCAACAAAAGTATGTTCAGTTTACAATATCTATAAAATTTTATCATTTATGGCAATAAATGTCTCAATGACTGCAAGATTTTTTTTAATGGACATGGTTTTAAAAAAAGACTACATAATTGATTTCCTCCTGTAATTTCTTTTTTATCTAGAGCAGCGGTTCTCAACCTAAGGCCAGTGCTGGATTAACCATTAGGCAAACAAGGCACGTGCCTAGGGCACCACAAGTCGTCAAGAAAAATGTGTATATAGCATCAGACATTACAAAAATTCTGGAAAAGGAAATTTATCCAAAACTATATGTGAAGAACTGATTGAAATTATGTCCCAAAAAGTCCATGCAGTAATTGTAGATGAAGTAAAGGCTTCCAGTTATTTCAGCTTGTCAGTAGACTCAACACCTGATATTTCACATATAGATCAGTTAAGTGTTGTTCTTGGATATGTGGTAGATGGAGAGGCCATTGAGTGCTTTTTTTACTTTCTTGGAGCTACCAAGTCACGCCGGTGAAGGTATGGCTAAGCAAGTGTTGCAGTACTTACGTGAAGCTTGCAATATTGATTTTTCGAAATGCAGAGGTCAGTCCTACGACAACGCAGCTAATATGTATGGGTGCTACAAGGGCATGCAGAAAAAAATTCTAGAAAAAATGAGTTTGCTATATATATACCCTGTGCTGCCCATTCACTAAATCTGGTACGCAGAAGTGCCGTTGACTCTTGTTTAGAGGCAGTAAACTTCTTCCATTACAGTGCAACTGATCTATACTTTTTTCTCAGCTTCAACCAAAAGATGGAAGATTCTGAAAGGATGACTTGTGAATGAAAAGCTGGTAAAGTCCCTTTCCGATACCAGATGGGAAGCATATGCTGTTGCAACTGAAGCGATTCTAAAGTCTCATCCTCAGATTATAGAAGCGTTAGAATGTTTACGAGAAGTTCAGTCACAGAAGGGGGACACTTAAAGAGAAGCAGAAAACATTGCAAAGAAGATGCAAGAATTAGAATTTGCTTTCATGCTTGTCTTTTGGGAAGAAGTGTTACAACATTACAGTGTTACAGGGTCAGTCAAGCTCTACAAAATGAGCAAGTGAACTTGAAAACGTGTGCTGATTTGTATTATTCAGATTCACTATCAGATCACTTGCATGAATCTAGGAATGAATTGGAAAGATTTGAAGAAGCTGCAAAAGAAATAACACCAGGTGTGGATTATAAGTCAACTTTGACCCGTAATTGTAAACGAAAGACAGTGGTCATTTATGGTGATGCCCCTGAGGTATCTCAGAATGCCAGAGACAAATTTCGTATATCTGCTTTCAACACCATTGTTGACAAACTTGAGACAGAGATGAGTAGACGAGGACAGGTATATAACGATCTAGCAGTTCAATTTTCTTGTTTGGTCGATGTACCACAAACATCTCAGTGTTGTGAAGGACTAATAAATGCTTATCCTGAAGATCTGAACAATAATTTATATACTGAACTTCCAGAGTTCCACTCATATATTCACCACAAGTTTCATGCATCAAAATCTGAGAACAACACGTTCAGTCATGCAGATCTCTACAAAGTAATAGAGACAACATCAAGTGTGCTTTTCTAAATGTAGAAATCACCTTGCGCATATTTCAACATTAATGGTTACGAACTGTTCAACTGAGCGCTCTTTTTCTCAGTTGAAACATACAAAAAATCCAAGTAGATTGACAATGAAACAAGAAAGGCTTGATTCCTTATCTTTGCTGATGATTGAGGCAGACTTGTTGCGCAAAATAAACTTTGATGATGTACTAAAAAAAACTTTGCCAGACGTAAATTTAGAAAAAAAGAACTTTAAAATGAAAATGTGCTCTCTCTCTCTGACTTTCTTATCTATCAAAAAAGTTACAGTATTTTTGTCTACTATTATTACAAAATTAATTAACTATTAATCTTAATACAGAAATACTCTATTGTAGGTTTTATATGTGTGATAGTAGTACAAAAATATGTGTTTACATTTCACAACTGTTTTTCTTTGATAGTTTTTTGCATAATATTAAACATACCAGCAGTCAGTGGAGGATCGTGGGCCCGGGGCAGTAGGAGGCAACCATGTGGGTTTGTGCCTAGGGCACCAAGATGGCTTAATCCGGCCCTGCCTGTGGCTTGTGACCCCTTGGGGGGAGGGGGTCGAATGACCCTTTCACAGAGGTCACCTAAGACCATCGGAAGACACATATACTCTACAGTTATCAAGTAGCAACGAAATAATTTTACTGTGTGGGGTCACCACAACATGAGGAACTTTATGAAAGGGTCGCGGCGTTAGGAAGTTTGAGAACCACTGATCTAGAGAAACCCATGAGCTGAGTTTCTGCACTGCAAGAGTTTCTGGTTGATCAGCACAAACAAAATGGACAAATTCCTTCACAATGATAAAAATGAAAGACAATCCTCGTGATGTAAAACAATGGAATAAAAATTCTTTACCACAGACTGTGTGGCTTTAAAAGAAAATTAAAATCAAATTTAAAAAATACCAGATAAAAAAAATAAAAAATTAACCATTTCAAACAGTGAGCTGGCCCACTGACACTAATGCCTAGCAATAACCCTCTGAACTGTAATACATCATCATCAAAATATTTTTGATCTTCAAAACTCAATAAGAGAATGGGAAGTTCAAATGATCTGTCACTACTTTGGTGACATCGCCAGCTTTACAAAATAAGTATTATCAAGACCTTGAAGGGGTCTTGCAGTTAAAGAAAAAAAAAAAGAGTTGTTTTGTAATACAGAAACAGATGGAGATGACTGCCTCCACTTAATGTCCCCAAAGTTATCAAATTCCCCCAAAGTTATCTTATCTCCCCCAATGTTATCAATCCCCAAAAGCTATTTCATCACCTCCCTCAAAGTTATCTTATCAATTCCCTCCAAATTTATAACTCCCCCCCAAAGTTATCCCATCAGGCCCCCCCCCAAGGTATCTCATCTCCCCATAAATTATTTTATTAACTCCCCCTAAAGTTATCAAGTCACCCAAAAGTTATCTCATCTCCCCACAAAGTTATCTCATCCTCTCTCCCCAAAGTTATCGTCACCCAAAAGTTATCTCATTCCCCATAAATTATTTCATTAACTCCCCCTAAATTTATCAAGTCACCCAAAAGTTATCTCATCTCCCCACAAAGTTATCTCATCCACTCCCCCCAAAGTTATCAACTCCCCCACTCCCCCACAAAGTTATCAACTCACCCAAAAGTTATCTCATCTCCCCATAAATTATTTCATCCTCTCCCCCTAAAGTTATCAACTCCCCCTAAATTTATCAACTCACCCCAAAGTTATCTCATCAACTTCTAAAGGAAATTGTTTCTACAACATTTAAAAAACAAATAGTTCTTAATTGTCTCTAATGGCACATTTATAACCCTTTCCAGAATTATGTTAGAATAATTCATGAGGAGAAATCTCTCTCTCCTTCACAGAAACTCTTCCCCCTTTCACTAACACCCACCCCGCCCCTTTCCAAATATTTGATTTAAAATATTCATTGCAATCCGATTGGGGGATTCAGAAATACCAATACTAGAATAGACCATGTCATGTGACCAAGCAGAAGCAGAGACCATTATCCACCCTCCTTGTGTCAGATTGTAAACTCTCCCGCCAAAGGTCACAGGCAATCCAAGACCATGAGCTCTAAGCCTTGCGTGTGTCAAGGTTGGCTGAACTCTGTCTCCGACCAGCTTTCCATATCACTGTATTCTGGCTGAGGAAGGAAAAAAGAAGAGATTTACCCAAATGGGATCTTAATCAGGTACTGTTCGATCCCGCCCCAAGAACAGTTAACACTGAAATCTGAATAAATAATTCTTTAGCAGTGTCATCAAGTCCTTAAAAAAAAGTGAATGTCCATTTTAACTCTTAACCTACTGAGTTTTATCTTTGTCAGTGCATGAAAATTAATTAATAGTGCCATTAGAAAACAGTTCATAAAACTAATATGCCAGCGGTCAGGATTTTGGCCAGCGGTCAGGATTCAATGGAACAAGAAAGGAGAATCTGTCAAACATATAATATTTCACAATCATAAAAAATTGTCCCACTTACTGGTATTTTTACATACAGCAGATGGGAAAAAAAATACTTAAATATTGGCACACGGTAGGTAAAAAGTCGGCACACAGTAGGTACAAAATCGGCACACAGTTGGCACACAGTTCGCACTCAGTAGGTACAAAGTCGGCACACAGTTGGCACACAGTTCGCACTCAGTAGGTACAAAGTCGGCACACAGTAAGTACAAAGTCGGCACACAGTAGGTAAACAGTCTGTACACAGTAAGTAAACAATTGGCACACAGTAGGTTAACAGTTGGCACACAGTAGGTAAACAGTCGGCACACAGTAGGTAAACATTTGGGCTAAACAGTTGGCACACAGTTGGTAAACATTTGGGGTAAACAGTCGGCACACAGTTGATAAAGAGTTAAGATACATCACCCATGCTGTAAACTTGTAATAACTAGAAGCACCCACCTCGCCATCGCTAGGGTTACCCATCATCTCCTCAGCCTCAACGTCGTAAGTACCATCCAGACCCATCTCATTGTGTTTCTCAATCCTCTCGCTGGCCTCACGAGCTCGAGAGTTATTGGGATCCAAGCTACCACAGAAAGAGAGTTCCATTATTGTGCGGCACAGAAAGAGAGTTCCATTATTGTATAGTACAGAAGGAGAGTTCCATTGTTGTATAGCACAGAAAGAGAGTTCCATTGTTGTATAGCACAGAAAGAGAGTTCCATTGTTGTATAGCACAGAAAGAGAGTTCCATTGTTGTATAGCACAGAAAGAGAGTTCCATTGTTGTATAGCACAGAAAGAGAGTTCCATTGTTGTATAGCACAGAAAGAGAGTTCCATTATTGTGCGGCACAGAAAGAGAGTTCCATTATTGTATAGTACAGAAAGAGAGTTCCATTGTTGTATAGCACAGAAAGAGAGTTCCATTATTGTATAGCACAGAAAGAGAGTTCCATTGTTGTATAGCACAGAAAGAGAGTTCCATTGTTGTATAGCACAGAAAGAGAGTTCCATTATTGTGCGGCACAGAAAGAGAGTTCCATTATTGTATAGTACAGAAAGAGAGTTCCATTGTTGTATAGTACAGAAGGAGAGTTCCATTGTTGTATAGCACAGAAAGAGAGTTCCATTGTTGTATAGCACAGAAAGAGAGTTCCATTGTTGTATAGCACAGAAAGAGAGTTCCATTATTGTATAGCACTGACTAACTAAACTGAATAGTTTTATAGATTTACAATCATGTATAGATCAGATGAATTAATTTGTTTCAACTGAATAAGAAAAAGTTTCAACTGAATAAGAAAATATATTGATGAAGCTCCTACCTGAGAGATATTTTATAATTTTAAATGCCTACATGAGAGATATGTTATACTGCTTTGTTAAAATGCCTATCAGACATGTTATACTGTATTGTTAAAATGCCTACATCAGAGATATGTTATAATGTTTTGTTAAAATGCCTACATGAGAGATATGTTATACTGTATTGTTAAAATGCCTACATGAAAGATATGTTATACCGGTACTGTTTTGTTAAAATTCCTACATGAGAAATATGTTATAATGTATAGTTAAAATTCTTAGCTGAGAGAAATGTTATACTGCATTGTTAAAAATCCTGCTTGAGAGATATGTTATACTGTATTGTTAAAATGCTTACCTGAGAGAAATGTTGTATTGATCAAGTGCCTCCTGTCGTTGGTCTAAGCTCTGAAGACAGTCAGCATACTGTTGATGTAGTTTTGTGGTGCTGTGGTTCTCCAACATTTTACGCAATCTGTAAAAGGTCATGTTGATAAAATACACATTTATTTTATCATATTCTGGGTCCTGTAGTTATTTAACACTATCACTATTGTAATCACAACCAAAAAATAAACATTTACTGCAAACAATGTCATTTAGCAGTCAATTGAGCCAAAAATTGATTGAATTGTTTTAAAGCTCAAATAAAGACCACATTTTTTAAAAACATGTTATAGCTAAAGGCTCTCACATAGTAATGTCTGGCTTCAAGAGGCCAATTTAGAGTATTCTTTGGAGCATTAAGTTTTTCTAGTACAGAGACAACTTTAGCCTAAACGGTTTCCCAAACAACAACGAGAGGTTTTAGTTCTTTATTAATCCCATTTCATTTACTTCATATCATAATACTATTACTGTTTCTTTATACAATACTTTTTTTAACATTTCAGATCCCTTCACATATACCATAATAGTACTCACATTTCAGTTCCCTTGGCATAGTCATGTTCCTGGATCAGGATGTCAACAAGCAGGTACACAGGTTCAAGTAAGTTGGGGTCAAAGGTCATGGCACGATTCAAATACTGCTTGGCCTTTAGAGAGACAAGAAATTATCTTAAAAACCTTCAGCTAATTTGAACACAACTTTAACAAAAAGATGGCAAAACATTTTGTTCTTTAGCATGATTTTGTTTTTCTAAAGTTTTATTAAAAATGCTCCAGATTTTCCTATCAGCTTGACAACCTAGAGCCTGCACTACCCAGGTCCAAAAATCACTTGGATAAAGTTGGGCATAAAATTCAAATTGTATGGTTACTTTATTCCCACTATTCCTGTGCATAGAAATCATTCATACTTTACATAACATTTCTCAGTTGGCAAATCAGAGTCAAACTTTGAAAATTAAAATATATTTACCACACAGCTTAGCTGCATACCAAAACTCAGCTATCTAGGTTAAGTGGAACCTAAAGAAATTTTATCTGACAAGCATCAAACTATCAACCAAATGAATGAGTGTTACAAGACAATGCTCCTCTCTAGTATAATACAAAGTTTGAAAATATAGCTGAGCACTTTTACAGTTAATGATGCACCTCAGACAGCCTGATACTTATTGCATCAGTCAGACACGAGACGCATCAGTCAGACACGAGACGCATCAGTCAGACACGAGACGCATCAGTCAGACACGAGACGCATCAGTCAGACACAAGACGCATCAGTCAGACACGAGATGCATATTTTTAGGAAACAAAACTAACAATGAAGTTTATGTTGGAATTAATTCTTTCCAACGACAGATAACTCACTTTGGCTATGTTGCTTGGGTCTTTAGCCAGTACAGATGCCACAAGCTGAAACGAATAAATATAAGAAACAAGAAATGAGAGAACGAATGTCCAAAAAACTTCTTGTTGAGATGATAACACCAGCAGGGAAATGTGAGCAGACATTATTATTGTCAGACCAGCAGTTACCGGGTACAAATTAAATAAATAATGGGGAAAAAGACAGATTTCTCCACAGCAATATATATGACGAATTAAAAATATAGCTAGTGAGGCAGTGTCCTATTATGAACTTGTAAATATTTAAAGCAATAAACTTACTGTACTGTAAATGTTCTTTCAATCAACTTACTGTAAATGTTCTAGCATTATTCCCAATAGTTTTACAAGCTCTCATGGCCCATGCTAACGCTTCCTTGATCTTTCTGTTACTAATGAGGCAATCAATCAGACCTGAAGAAAATTTATTTTGAAAACACCCCATTAATGGTAACACCAACTCAATGGTACCACCACATAAATGCTAACTGGAGACCAATGTAACCCCACATTCATTGTAACAGCACATCAATGTTGGTATTAACACCTCTCCAGTGGTAACACTGTACAAAATGGTAAATCAACATCATTAGTTCAATTTTACATAAGAAAATATATGTTTAGACAGCAACACTATAAAATATACACCACAAGATTCAAATATATTACCAGAAACTTTCAATATTAATGAATATCTGTATTTACCAAAATATTGTTCCATATAATAATGCGATACACGTATTAAGCACACGAGTTGTTTTTTTTTAAAGCTGGCCTAAGATGCTACGAGGTTAAATTATTATAATTGACAAACGAGCTGTGGTCTAACCGATATAACTTTATCCCCAACTGATTTGTCAAGTAGATTCGTTTGCATAAGGCATAAGTATATATTGACCATGTTTGAATGTTTGAGTAATGAATGATAAATTGCTCATGCACAAAGTACGACTTACTAATAAAGAAACAGACCTACGGTGTGCCAATCGTCAACAATTCTAAATACATGCCATGCGCTTCTGCCATTTTTTGGTACCCTAATGCTTATACTGGCATATTATTCTAGATGGTTTGCTTATGAGAAGGTCATACACTTTTCAGAATTTTCCCATGCGAAAGTAGGTGGGCTGGCTTATGAACAAACAGGCTTTAGAATGACTATCTACAGTAAGAAGAAATAACTAATGTATTGATGGCTAGATGAGAAGACAAATAATTCAACAGGTAACACAATCCATGGAACAGGATAATACAAGTAATTCAACAGGTAACACAATCCATGGAACAGGATACTAAAGTAATTCAACAGGTAACACAATCCATGGAACAGGATACTAAAGTAATTAAACATGTAACACAATCCATGGTACATGATAATACAAATAATTCAACACGTAACACAATAAATTTTACAGGATAATACAATAATTCAATAGATAACACATACCTTGATATGCCTCAAATCTATTGGGAGCCATCCGAACAGCTTCCTGATAGTGCTGGATTGCCTGGGGTCCCTTCTTCATATCTAGCAACGCTGTACCTTTCAGGATGAGTGCTTGCACTGACAGATTGTCCAGTGAGTAGGCCTATGCAAATAAACATAAATTAAACATTTTATTTTCTTAACCCTTATTCATCTGTATCCCAGGGAGCATCAGACCCCCCCCCAACACATACACACTTAATCAAAAGGAGGATTAACTGTCCCTTGACTCCAAAGGAGGTATTAAAATATCTTTTAAAACCCAACGTTCAACCATCTGATGAATATTTTTAGTGCTACAACCTCATCCCTATATTCTCCAGCCTTACTTTGCTTAGCTGTCTTCAACTACATCTGCATAATCCACTAACTTAATGGCTGATTCTATGGTGTTACGGCCAAAATAATCAGCCTCTACTAAAATTAATACCATAAATATGAATGAGAAGCATACGTTTTTTTTTTTAAAGGGGGGTAACTCTAATAAATTAGATTTATTTCCAAATTATAGAAGACTAAAGTAAATATTTCATGTGTTCACATTTTTTTTTTTTAAATTTTAAAACGAATGACTATAAAAAAAATTAAAAAAAAAATGAGTTAGTAAACAATGAATTAAAAAAAAAAAAAAATTTATATCTATAAAACCATATAACTTTAACAGTATTTTCTAAAATGAACAAATAATGTTATCAGCATCTGAATAACCTATTAAGATGAAACAAAGGAGTCAAAATCATTGAGCTTGTGAGTTGAAGGGAGCTAAACAGTAGCACAAGTGTACTCACTGCTGAAAGGTGAAGGTCACATTCATTTTACATAGTTCACAGAATTCCAACATTCATACCTAATGATTCTTTGTCCAGTTTACCCTCATAATGTCTAACTTATGTTTACTGATAGATATCAATGCTACTAAAAAAAAAGAGTTGACACCACAGCATGTTTGGATTTGACAGTTCACAGGTTAAGAAGTAACACATTCACAATCGTATCCGGAAATTTGATCGAAAGAAATTTATTCGACTGTAAATTGATTGACGGTAATTTGATTGAACGGAAATTCGGTCACATCTTTTTTTCAGTTTAAACATTAAAATTTTGCTTGAAATTTCTTTTTGAACGCGTTATTTTATTAAACTATATAGTATAGTGCGTTCACAAAGAAATTTGACTCAAATTTTAATGTGTGAACTGAAAAAAAAAAATATTCAACCTAATTTCCGTTCGATCAAATTTCCGTCGATCAATTTATTGTCAACAAAATTTCTTTCTATCAAATTTCCAATAACCATTCACAATAGCTCCCATATTATTGCATATAACATCAGATAAGGCTAATTCCCTAACCTTAGTGTTTTTCCTCAAACATACATGGTAACACCTGCCAGTGGTAATGGTCAAGTGGAATCCCACTGATGGGGATAAGTGGAACCCCACCACTAGCTGGAATAGTTACCTTCTGAGCACAGTAAATAGCTCTGATGGTCTTGTTTTTGTTAGAATTTGAGGAGTGCAGTGCTAGAGAGCTGTAACCCATGGCAACCCAGGGCTCCACAGCTTGTTCAGAGACTGACATCAAGCTTTGGGCCAACCTAGATATTGTTCAAATAAAGAAAAGGGATTTTGTCAGACAAAAAAAAAAATAGTAAAACTTTATTACGTCAAAAAAATATTCTAAAAAGAAATTAATAAAAAAATTACTTCACATTAGGGGCCTACAGTTTTGGCTGAAGCAAATGTCTTGGGGTGAATAGCCAACAATATTCAATAAAGCCTGAAATATTAACACACAAGGAATGCAATTGATCACTGCCCAATGTAGTAAAAAAACAACAACAAAAACAAGTTATAGCAACTCTGTAAACTTGCAAGGCAGTTTCCAATACTCACAAATGTAAATCTTCTGTTTTCTTCTCTTTAGACAACAAGTAGGCGTAGATGTCCATGTTTTTCAAATACAATGGATCAAGAGTGTGCACCTGATGGTAAAGAATTTTTTTTTTTTTAATGGGATATTGTTTCTTTCATTCAAGATGTATGGGGAAGATATTGGATGTACACTTAAACTAGGATGTCCCCTTAACTGTGTCCATATTTAAACTTTTATTTTAAAAAACACTGACCCGTCTGAACTGTGCTATTGCTTGTGTGTAGTGACCTCCATGGAAGCAGGCTTCTCCCAAATAGCTCAGTATCAGAACGTTATCTTTTAAACCATGCTAAAATACAGATAATATTAGTTATATATTAGATAATTCAACAGACAGCAATATGGGATTAATAATTTTAAAATAAATCTAACAGATGTTTTAGCAATTTAAAAAAAATACCTAGTGTAATTTACAAATTACTTTTAAGATTTTATACTAAATCAGCATGCATTTTCCAGTCCTTAAAAATCTCTTCTGAAATGTACCCTTTTCTTTTTACAACTTTATATGTAATGACTTTGATATTTACTGAAGTAGGGGTGCGGACGTGATGGTAAAAAATTGCAAGTAAAACTGACTGACCTTTGGCTCCATGGCCCTGAAATTTGTTATTGCACTACTGTATTCTTTGGATGCCATCCTGGCTTGAGCTTTGACCCAACTGTTTAACCTGATGGTAGTAGTAGACAGTTAGTCTAACAATTCTTATGCCAACCATCAAACCTAATGGTAGTCAAGATGATTTGGTCAAATAATTCTTATTAAAGTCTCATGGAAACAAAATAAATTTATAAAATGATGTAAAAATAATCTGAACATTTTCAAATTAAAACAAAAACTACATCATTGTGGAATATCTAAGACTTAACAAAACATAAGCAGGTGGTGAGATGATGTTAGACTTCCGATTCCCTAGAAGATTGTGCTATATTTAAGACTTAACAAAACACAAGTAGATGGTGTAATGATGCTATACTAGACTGCCCTCCAGCAGAGTTTCCCAAATTTTGGTCTGCAAAACAAATTTCAAGTCAATATAAAAATAAAATTAATAAATTTGGCACAGGTCTCTGGCGCAAATTCAAAAGTTGTCCACCGATCCGCCAAAATGAACACTTTGGAAAATGGTACCCTAGATGATTGCGAGGATATTTAAGACTTACCAATCACAAGCAGACTCTGGAAAAAGGCAAGACTCACCAATCACAAGAAGATTGTGGAATACTGTTCATGATATAAGACATAAGGTCCACTCCCCTCATTCCCAGGCTAAGAAGACAAGTCAAGGCATCTAAAGCTAACGGATGTTCTCTAAATATAACAAAAAAAAGACAACATCCTTGTGTCACTAACAATGGAAAATGAAGTTAGGAAGATATTTGGATTTACAAATAGAAAAGCTAATGGCACACATCACACCAATCTCTAAATTCTATCAAACAAAATTATGCCAAAATATCACTTATTAATGGTGCATTAATGCTTTAACTTCCAATATGTGAAATTTGTAGCAATTAATTAATAAAATATATTAATAATTATTTCATACTCCACCTAATAAGTTCTTTATAGCAGGTAATGGCCGCTCTGTCTCGTCCATCATGTAAGTAAAGCTTGGCCAGAGCAAGATTGACACGGGCAGTCCTCTTCTTGGTATTGATACTTTCCAGCTGAATGAGGCAATTTTATTGTATGATTCACAAATAGAAAAGAATATGGCACACATCACATCAATCTATAAATTCTATTAAACAATATTATTTCAAAATGTCACTGTATTTATTAAAAGTGCATTAAGTCTAATAATATTTTAGACAGCGAAAAAAATATTGAACAGCAAAATCAAAATAGTTTTATTTTAAACAGTGTTCCCCAACTTTTTCTGTGGTCTGCACCACCTACGAATTTATTAACTAGTCTTCCACCCCCCTAAAGATTTTTAACTTAACCTGGCACCCCTACAAAATTAACAATGCATTTTATATTATTTTTAAAAATGGACGCCTAATTTTATCTACTTCATTCTTTCTTCAAATTTACGTTACTTGTTTGTTAAGTTTTTATTTAACAAAAGGATTTTATTTTGAAGATTAAAACAGCTAAAAGTAATTTTTAGTAAAGCGATTTTTAGTTTATACTTACAATATTAAGGGCCTCAACATTCTGTTTCATCTTATGCAGACATTGATAAATTTTATATTTCAAGTCAACCTCAGATGTCAGCTCCTGAGAAAAGTTGATGGTAACTTAAACAAGGACATTTATGCATAAATATTTCTAACACACAGGTATTTATTATTCCATTAACATACATCTGTTAATGTGTCAGCCATTATTTCAAACATTCTGATTTCTAATTGATATCTAACATGAACCTTAAAAAAAAAAGCAAAGACTATCTATGTTTGTTGAGCTTACAGTTGATGAAACACTTTTGATCTTGCTTTTATTAAGAGTTTTTCTTAGCTGGAGACATCTCATGAACACACTCTGAAGTAAAAAAAAATGGGGTGAAATTAGATTATTGAAAAAAATTTAATTCATGCATTTTTACACAATTTTAAATTCTATGGGTTAAATGTTTCAACAGTTACAACTGTGAATAAAAGACAATAAATTAAAATTTTGATTCACCCAAAATGCAGTTAAGTGGTGTCATGTAATACTTTACCTCTGCTTTTTTATATTCCCCAAGCTGATAAAGTGCATCACCATAGTAGATGAGGCTTTGATATTTCTGGGGCAGTGAAAGAATCTCCCCGATGTCAACTCCAGCATTCCCATCAATCATAGACAGCACTACACAGAGCTGCATGTGGATAAATCACTTATCTTGAATTATGCATTAAAATAATAGAGAAAGGCTTATTAAATGCCACTTCTTAGAACTCTGAAACTATCAATAACCTGGTCTAAAGAATTAATAAATAAGAATTCATCAACATAACAAATAGATCTGTAATAATTTTCTGCCACTCATAGATTATAAGTTGGTATCATATTTATATGTAGAACTGTAGCTCTTGATGTCCTGTGGTCATCCACTCTTCTAATCCAGATGCTCAACCATGGGACATCCTAGTACCACACATACCAGTGTAACCGACAACAAACACTGGATATATCGATATGATTTCAATGTATAATTTTAATATGCCTCGTTAAGTCTGACAAATCAATGTACTTCACAATACAACTGTAAACTTATCAACGTTCAACTTCACGATCTATCTAGCCGAATCTTCACACACAGAACAAGCTATGCCTTGAACATCACACAACGGCCATCTCTATCCTCTATCAACATAACAACAGTGATCTACACATAACAAAGGTGATTCTCATACCCTTGACATTATAGTATAATATCACATCATTGTATAAAATAATAAACATGATAAAAATGATTTATTATTAGTTATATTTCCCAATTATATTCTGGATAACCAATGTAATGAATTATTAACTACCCTACGGCCGCTATCGATAATCGGTAGGAAGCATACAAACATGGTGGCGGTGGCCATGATGACATATTACATAGCCTTAAAAAAAAAAAGAAATCTGTCAGTTTTGTTTTTGAAGCATACGCATGGTCTACACTCATGAATTTTGGATATGTTGTAAATGAACCTATGAATTAATTGCTCTGGTTTTTTAATTATGGAGCGCATTTTTAAAAAAAAAGTTATTGATGAGTGAAGTTTACCTATTTTTAACTTCAATTTTCAATGAAAAAAAAATCAAACAAACTCTCACTACAATGTCTACAACAAGAAAGATGTCAGCTTTATGTAATTAGGGGATGTAGAATTTATTATTATGCTAAAAATCGACTATAAAAGGCGAAATAAGGCTTCCCTCAGTGAATTAAAAAGTGCTTGTCGCCATTTTGACAGCGAAATTACAATTACAATACCAGTTTTTCGGGTATTTCCGGGTGATACCAAAGTGCCTACTATAGCTTTCAGTCAGTCAACTTATGACTTATGATAGCCATTTAATATTATTATTATTTATTTATGAAAAGTCCTATATACATAATACCCATATCATTATATCTATATTTTTTAACTTGCATGTAGTAGGCCTACATCACTGATCACTACACTAGACCAGGCAGTGCTTTTGAATGTGGTCTAGGTCTCACTGAGCCCAGGCCCATGGCTAGTTGATGTTGTTTTAAAAATGTTAATGATTTTTATTCAAATTGGTCTTTGGCCCTGCCCCTAGTTTACTAGCAGTAGGCGTAGTACATGTAGTACCGGTTGTAGACTTGCTGGGTTAATCTCGGAGGCTAATAACGAATAATTAAATGATTAATATTAATAATTAATACATGTTATCGCCTTTTATTTTAATGGTTTATAATTTAATTATAAAATACTGACGAGCTGCTTTAGATCTTCATATAACTCTGCTTGATACAATTCACGGATGTGATCGAACATTTGGCCAGGCATTCTAGTGGAATTTTGTTCAAATTTAAAGTTTTCTTGTTCTCCCTCCCAAGTAAACATTACTGAGTGAACTCCCGTATTTTTTCGGTACGCTAGTCACTTCCGCTGTTATCTCCTCGGTGAAGATAACAAATTTGCATCGTGATATATATATATATGTGTGTGTGTGTGTGCGAGTGTATATATATATATATATATATGTGCGTGTGTGTGTGTATATATATATATTAAATTAATTGAAGTCACTCATTAAATACATGAGTATGAGACCCAGTATGAGATAATTTAAATTTAAACAACAAGTCACTTAAATTATATAACTAGTTAAAAGTTATAGTAGCCAGCCAAACATTGGCCGTGGCAAAGCGCGAACTTCCCATAATTATAATATACTAAATTTACTACTGGTATACCAAACAAACAGCATTAAAATTAAAAAAAACCCACTTTATTATAATATATAACGTTTAAAAGAATCCCAATGAGTGCTCCCCCCCCCCGGCACGCTACCGCACATTTTTTACGCCCCTTAACTATATAAATATTCTAATGCTCTGACTCTTTTACGCCGCATATTTATTACATCATATTAAAATTAAAAAAAACCCCCTTTTTTTTAATATATAACCGTTAAAAAAATCCCCAATGGTGCCCCCCCCCCCCCCCGGCACGCTACCGCACATTTTTTACGCCCCTTAACTATATAAATATTCTAATGCTCTGACTCTTTTACGCCGCATATTTATTACATCATATTTAAATTGAGACTTTAAGTTATTGGTATATTTAAGAATCTCATTAAGCGCAGTTATCGAGAATTTTATTTTGCGCTCTGACTCTATAGCACTCACAATTTTATTTCTTACATAGAGAATTATATTGATTGATGTTTCGCAGTTGTATACCGTATACTTTTTGTAATTTTAGAGCATAAATCTATCTTTCACTAACTTAGAAATTGATCTGCTCCAGTGGTAATCAACCGTTTTGACTCTCTGACTCTGAGCCCTTTAAATTTTTAGAATCAATTTCTACCCTTCATATTGCACTTTAATAGTGTTTCGGAGTTACCTGGAGCGACCTTAGTTACATCTAAAGCCACAGGGCCATCCATAAATGACATCATACATTAAGAGGGGGTCCAGTGTCTCACCAATTTGTAATGAGGTATCATGTGGGAGTCTAAATTTTGTGAGGAAATTTCAGGGAGGGGGGGGGGGGCGGGATTGTCATGGTAATGTTTCAAGAAAGTTTATGGAAGGAAAAATATATATTTCCCGTCACCCACTTAGTTACTTATCACCCAAAATAAGGTGTGTACAGGTACCACCTTTTTAACATTGGAATATTCATGTTTGTGAGCTGATCAAGTTTTTTTATTTAAATGAGGAATATTAAACACAAGACTACTCATAATTTATAAATAGGGCAGTGTGAAAATTACAACAATCACCTCACCTCCCCCACTGGATCCATTAGGGTTCATGTCTCAGGGAATCCCTACATAAAAATTACTGCGGTAACAGATTATTCTCATCGAGCCCCTAGTATTTTATTGCTGAAGCCAAGTGCTCCTGAGAAACACTGCTATGTACAGACTAAATTCATCATGGAAGGAAACATTGGGTCCTGGTAACTAAAAGTAAAAGACATAAGAAACATGTCTAATCTATGAAGAGTTCAGAATAGTAATATATGATTTAGAAAATCCAGTTTTGCAGCCTTTTCAGCAAGATTTAACATGATGTGTAGCTTGCAAGACATCACCATGTTTTTTATCTTAGGATGGTAGTTTGAGAATTAGTCATTAGTCTGGGGCATTTTTTCTTTGGAATAAATTATAAATGATTGAAATGAATATTTTAGCATCCAACTACTCTAATACCGGTACTAATAAACTTTTAATATTTAAGGAATTAACCAAATGACTGTTTTTTGTAAAAAGAAAAAAAGCTGTTAAACTGTAATGAGCTTATGAAATACATATTTTTTTAATTTAAAAGAAGTGACAATATTCGTAAAATGCTAAAATCTCAATCAAATAATGATCCACCTTGTAAACAGAAAATTAAACAACTAGAAACAAAAACAAAATTTAAAAAAAAAAACACATTTGGAATATAAAATTATGTAACATTTATTTCAAATATTTATTTAAAAAACATAACTTTTCATAACTATGAAATAAAATGTGAAACAAATGTAACTACAAGTTTAAAATAGAAGTTTCCATTATTTGTTATCCTAATTTTAAAAATACAATTTCTTTCCTTCTCTCTTGATAAAGGTATTGATTAATTTGGAAAAAAAAAAAAAAAAAGTTAAAAGCCTAATTAACCTTTTTTTTGTATGTTTGTTAGAGAATGCCATATGATTTCCAAAATAAATCATTTCAAAACAAAATATTATCAATGAATTCACAAAACTCTGGCATTCCAATTACAGATTCATTTTGACACAGAAACATCATCTTTGCTTGTCACTGGATGTTAAGCTTAACATCATTTATCAAAATCAAATGTTTATTTTTCTATTCATGACTATTTTCTGAAGTGCTTGTCCATCATTCTTCTTCCTCAGGCTCTGGTTTCTTTTTTATATCATCATACAATTTCTGCGGGAAAAGAAATTTAATTCATTATTAAGTTTAAGGTAAAGAAAAAACTAAGAGGTTTTTGCTAGACCAAGATGTTCAGAAATAGATTTTATTTCATGCATATAAAATGTAACAAGTTGGCAAATGGAATAAATTACATGGGTTGCTGTTATAATGTTTATCATGGATCTGGAGAAAGAGTCAAGTCTGTTACACGAAAAAAAGGTATTTAGGTTCAAAAGATACAAAACCAACTAGGCATATTATTTTAAAACAGAGATAATTACTAATACAGAAAAATATTATTGTACCGGTACCAAGATATATCGAACGGTTGTGTAAGAATGAACTCTATGCCTTGCCAATTATCATAATGGGGGGACAGCATTTCAGTCAACTTTATGATATATTTTGTTTGCTTTTTTATTTTTATTTTGAAGAGCTCTATCCATGTAACCTAGGTAATCATTTTTTAGCTTAGTAAATTTAAGTTCATTAATCAATTATCATATTTTAGTGTTTTAAATTATTTACTTGTTCAGGGATAACTCAAACGACATTGTCGGTAGGATTTAAAAAAAAGTATATACCTTAAGTGCCAAGTAAAATTTTATTTTAAAGTGAATTTAAATAAATAATTTGAAATCAATAAATCAAAATGGGTTATTGATAACTTGCTGTCATTTAAATAACTGTCTTTTATATAAGAAGAAACACCTCATTGACGGAATAGGTCTCCTTGTAGACCACAAATGTTGCAGAAAAGGGCCATCCATAAATAACACAATTTTGGCAGATTTTGGACTCCTCCACCACCACAACTTTGTTACACCTTTCATCATACATTGTTACTAATTTGTGACTCAACCCCCTCCCCCCCCCCATCCTAGATGAGTGACATCATTTGTGGGTGGCCCTAATGACAAAAGATAGCTGGAGGTTAATATTTTGCTCTTGTACCATTTTTAATAGGTTGTTGTACAGAAAGACAGTACAGTGGAACCTCTCATAAAGAGTTTAATTCGTTCCAGACTCTTACTCGTTAAGCGAAACACTCGTTAAACGAAACAATTTTTCCTATACCAATCAATGTAAAAATACGACAATGCTTTCCATGCTGAAAAAATACAAATTTTTCAAAAATTTTTATTAACATTTATTCAAATAAAATTACTTATAAATTGTTAAGGAGTGTAACAACTTGGAATACAATTTAGATTTGAAACAAAAAAAAGGTAAATAAAAATATGAATTTATGACAAATAATTAATCCTTTTTAACTAGAAAACTGTCTAAAGACATTTGTTTTTGACGACGCTTCAAAATTTGACGAAAATATGTCACAGCATTATCATTGAATAAATTTTTAGCACAAATAGCCACGCTCACACCTTGTTCTAACTTTTCAATGATTTTACATTTCATTTCAACAGTTATTTTTTATCTTTTATGATCATCTTCTTGTGTTTTTTTTTCGAAGACATTTTAGCATAGGTTATTACACATTGCACATCAAAAAATTACGAATACAGTCTGAATACAAAATTTGTAAAAATTGGTGATCGCACACAATAACAATACGCTAACAGACCAAGTGCTAAACACACACTAATGCAATGGTTCTCAACCTTCCTAGTGCCGCGACCCTTTAATACAGTTTCTCGTGTCTTGCCGACCCCCCCAGCAACCTAATTATTTTCGTTGCTACTTCATAGCTGTAAGAATATGTGTTTTCAGATAGCCTACGGCCACCCCTGGGAAAGGGCCGCGCTACCCGCGAAGGGGTCACGACCCACAGATTGAGATACGCTAGACTAATGCATCTGCGCGGAAGCCCCGGCTCACAAATGAATGTCAGGGAAAAGGGACTTCCCTTTTCGGCGTAACTCGTTATGCGAAATATCGCTCGTTAAGGGTTGAACTTCTTCACATTTTTTTTGCTCGTTATGCGAATTACTCGTTATGAGAGGTGCTCGTTATGAGAGGTTCCACTGTATTTGAATCCTGGTACTGTAATAATTAAAGCCACAAGCCTATGAATAATCAAATCTTGATTTTTATAACAATATAACAATGACAATAGGCTGAAAAGGCCTAAACAAAAGAAATCAATAAATAAAGGCTCTTCAATAAAGCCCTTCACTAATTTTCTTAAAATTGTATTTTAGTATTTTTAGCAGGACATGGTAAATGATAATGTGAATAGGTGATTAGGGCTAGGTCTAGGCAATAAGTGATATTTTCCTGATTCAAACCAAATCAAATATCTAAAATGTCTAGATTTAATTGTAAAAAGTTAACATATACACCATAATGAATGTAAATTTAAAAATGAGTGAAATGCCTAGGCTAAAGTTGTTCACTTTTGAGTTTCAGTGTAAGATTACTAGGTTTCTCTCCCTTTTGTTTATTCTTGGATTGTTACTAACTACACCGGTACGTTATAATTTCATTGGCATTGGGTTGTTAATTAAAATATTTAAATATTCTGGCCCTTTGGAAAATGAATTGACTATTGACTTTTCTGACAACTTTTGGATTTTATGTTGGTGAAACTTAAAATAAAGTGTGTAAAAGTGTATTTGATGAAACTGTAATTGTAGCACACGTTTTAGTTGAGGGAAGGGAGCAACCAGTTGCTGAGACTTCTTGCTTCAAATCTAGAGGGATACAAAAAAGTAGCTTTGTTCGCCACAAGCTCAATGTACTGGGCTGATATGATTTTATTAAATTTTAATGTTCTTAATATTGTTTATTTCGGTAAATAGCTAAATCAGCACATTCTCTCTCTTTCCCCTCCCCATTTTAGCAGACATGTGTTTAAACTAATTTTTTTTTTATATGGCAGATGGTGGCCATAGGAAATGAGTGGCACACCCAACCAATAAAACAATATTTACAAAATGTCTTTTAAATTTATTATTTTCACTTCATTTAGAATTTAAGCCTACTTTAGTAGTAGTAGTAATATTGGCACCTAAGTTACTAGTATGATTTTGAATAGGGAACTATCCGGACATGACCACACTGAGAAATTCAGAATTATGAAAATAAGCATTGACTGAATTAGAATTGAAGAGAATTGAATTGTCAACGAAATAACATACCCCCTTATTTATTTGGCGAAAATATTGCTCTGTTAACGTGTTGAACGCCCTCTCAAATGGATAGGCTAGAACTACACATGTTAAGACGAAAGTTGAAGTTCTTCTGAATATAGCATTGTAAATAGTTTTAGAAACATTAGCCAAGGACATGTTTGCTTTAGTTACTTATCGCTGCAGGTCAAGTAAAGGCCGTTTCTTTCTGTCTATTGAGGCAGAGTTACTGTTCCTGCATCAGGAGGAAACACTAAAAAAAGAAAACTTTTTAAAAAGAAACGACAGAAACAAAACAATTTATGTGAGAACGTTCTTGGAGTGTTTTTAAATTTCCTCCTTATCCTCCTCATGTCCCTTAGTCGTTGAGGTGCCACAGATGACATGTGAACCATCCTCCTCCATTCCTCCCTGTCTTCAGCACTACACACTGCATCGCCCAGTGTTAGTCCTGTCCACTCTTTGATGTTATCCTCCCATCTTTTTCTGGTCTTCCTCTTCTTCTCCCTTGCCCTTATTATCGTCAAATCTCAGATCGTGTCATTTTTATTCTGCTGACTTATTACACTCTTATTAATTTATCGATTTAAAGCTCTTTTCTACTAATACAAAAATTTTAACTGACAAATAAATGTTTAAAGTTTTTAAAATTTAAACCCAACGCCAACAACAATGTAACAATAAATGATAGACGGATAGACTAAAACTATATTATAAATTTAATTATTAATAATTTTAATAATTAATATTAATAGTATTATTTATTGTATCAATTATATTTAACTAATTAATTATTTCTATAATAATAATTAATTAAGTATACAAGTTTTATACTTATACTGCTTCTGGTAATGTTTCGTTGCTGCATCCATGTACTGGCATCTTTGCAATGGTTGGGGATATGTTGTTGCTATTCTAACAGCTCCTAGCTGATGCCAGGGCAGCCTTGAAGCTTTCGACCGATGTCGAATTCACAGTGGCATCGAGTTCACAGTGGCATCGAGTTCACAGTGGCATCAAGTTCACAGTGGCATCATTCAGATGGTTCCATGCTATTATTGTGCGTGGGAAGAAAGATTGTTGATACTGCACTGTGTTGCACTGAGGCACTTTGAAGCATCTGCTATTTTTTCTGGTGTAATTGTTTATGGGAACATCAGTGGTGAAGTCAGTGTTCAGTGAGCGTTTTGCTCTGATCAGTCTACCCGGCTTCTGCGGGGTGAGGTACGTGCCTGCTGGGATGGCCGGCACCAGTCCCATGATCACTTTATATAAGAATATCAGGCGGAGTCCCTCTCGTCTGTCTTTAAGGAGGGGGGATGCCAAATCTTTTTAAGAGGCCAGTGACGAAGCCAGGAGTGGTGGATTTGTAGTCTTCAGCGATATAAAACACCACGTTCCGTTGAATTCGCTCCATCGTATCCACGTCTTGCTTAAGGTGTGGGTCCCAGATGATCGCACCATATTCCAGTGCTTAAAATGTATTTATACTATGCTCCCTATACTTAATTATAATTGAATTACATTTATTTTTTATATTTAGTAACTAAATAGTTATACAGGCATAGGCCTTTTTAAATTGGCAAAATATTAAAATTAAAAAATACCAATACCGGTATTAAATTTTTCAATAATGAACAAATGTATTGCTTAAGGGCCCCCAAGTTAGGCAGCCTTTAGTCCTTGCCTTGCATTTAGTTTATATAATCGAGAATGTCAACCCTAAGCTGGCTAAAATAATGCTATACCGGTACTATACTATATTATACTACACTATGATACTTATTATTATGTGTGAGTGTGGACTAAAAATAGGCAAAATGATTAAATGTGATCATTACCATTAGACAAAGACTCCAATAGTAATGTCTCAAGCTCAAGTAGATCATGTAAACCTATTTTTAGATATGGCACTCAGAACTGGCATTTGCACAGCTTTAAATCAAGAAACCCTGGACAAGCTCAAAGTTGCTGGAATAAAAAAAGTCACAGATTTTCTTGCTAAAGATCCAGAACTTCTTTCCCACGATATTCATATTGCTTACAAAGTAAAAACACTACCAGTAGTCTGTTTATGTAAAAATAAATTGTTACTTCAATTTTTTACAATTTTACAAGAAATATTATTATATAGTGTTCATATTCTGTATAGTCATAAATGACTTTAAGAAAAACACACAAAAAACAGTGGTTTAAATGAAAAGCTTTTCCTAAAATTTATTGCAGGCTGTTTGTCTGACTTTTGTATAAGGCAAGGAGCATTAATATTTTGTCTGATTTAATCATAATTAATTTCTTTTACAAAAATAGTTACAGATACATATCATTTAAAAAAATTATCCCTTGTGTGATTATTTTTGGATTATGAACAATGAGAAAGAGATATGTCAAGGAAACTTTAATGCATGATTTAATAGCATCTAATTTATTTTTTCAACTTGCAGGACGTTTGCTCCATTCGCAGAGTTTTGTTGGCAGAACACTCTGCATACCCTGTATCAGCTGCCAGATTATATCAAAATGCACTATCATCTCTTACAATTTTACCCACTGGATGTCAAAAGTAAATTAACAATATATTGATAGAAGTTATATAAATTAGATAAAAGAATAAAAAAATTAAGTATTTCTGCAATATATTTACTAATAATGTAAAGTTCTTTCACAGTTTAAACTATTAATAATGTAACACCCCTCTACTCTGACATGGCGTGGGATGTTATTTCTTATGCTGTTATGTCAGTAGTAGTATGGTTACTTATGTTAACACTTCAGGATGCCGACTCAGTCTTCTTCATTCTTTCACTTATTATTCAGGCACGTAAAGAAGAATACTCAATTCTAGTTAAAACTCACAGTACTTTATTGAACACACTTTATATTGATAATAATAATAAATAATCCTTGCATGAATGTAATTTCACATATATATCTATAGTATTCCATCATTAAGAAAGACACGTCCTCAGACTACTATAACTCAGCTCAACTGTCTAATCTCACAGCTCTCACGCTACTGCTCTATTCTCTACTGCTCTGCACTCAGCTCTCACTATCTCAGTCAACTCATACTTTATTATCAGCAAAGCGTGGAAGACCACCGCTCTGACAAAAACATAATTTTACTCTCCAAAAACGTGGAGTTCACATTTGCATCTCAAAATACATGGTCAACACAATTCACTGTTCACTCATGCTACCTCTCTGTTTTCATGTGAAAACATAGTCCGTT